TCCCAACTCAGAGTGACCCTGCAGGACGGGCAGAACCGCCCCGTGGGTTTCTGAGACGGCAACTCTTGACAGGCGTAGGAAGCCCCGTCTTTCTCCCAGGGAGTGGCTGAAGGCTTCCAGGGGTGATCTTGTGGTCTGCAACCCAGCTCTTAAAAAGGACACCATGGGGGTGGACGGGGGTGGGCAAATCTGGGGTGCCATCATACACCTCAGGGTCTCCTCCTGGCTTTCCCACCCACCCTTACAAAGGACAGCGGTGTGATTCCCATAAGGGTCGGGGTCCCATGAGTCTATCTTTCCCCATCCACCTTGAGGACTCAGGCCAGACTTACAGGTCATTCCGTAGTGAAAGATCCTCTCCTCAGAGCTCCCTCGGGGGACAATGGTGCTATTGGGCATCCTGAGGTCATCATCGGGGTCATTGTTCCAGACCCCTGCGGGCAGAGAGGGAGGTCAGCCCCGTCACCCTCGCATCATGGCTGTCCTTCCGGGGAAGCACCCAACAGGTCATATTCAGTAAGAGCAGGAAGAGGCCTGGGAAGCCTCCTTCCGTTTCACCTGTCCTTGGACCAGTCCTCCAGGAGGAGAGCACCCCGACCTCATTCCCCGTCCCTCTGCTTTGGGGAGCAGGGGAAGAAGGTACGGAGAAAGACAGAGGAAGAGAAAGGATTCCGGGCGGCACATAGACAAGAGACGCAGGGCAGACAGGGACGGGAGGACAGAGGGTGGGTGGCTGCCCCCAGCCCTCCCCCCAGGGCCCATTCTGGAAGCTCTGTTGGCCGCCCTGGAATCTGGAGCTGTAGTGGGTGGACAGGAAGTGAGTCTCAAAAGCCGTTGAGAGATACCCCTCCTCTCTCCCAGCCAGCCCCATTCCCCGAGGTTCTGCTCCACGGAGGCTGAGAAAGGGGACCGGTTTGGGATGTCCCCAGCCTGAGAGGTGAAGAGGCTGCCTTCCACCAGGGGGTCTGAGCTCCTCCTGTACCCACTGCCTCAGAGGCAGAATCTGACCCCTTCCTTACCCAGGAGGCCCTCTGTGTGGTTTTGATACTCCTCTGGAAGACTGGAGGAGGCATGGAGGATGTTGGAGAGCACTCTCACTGAGATGGTCACCGTTCCATCAAAACTGGCTGAGACCATGGAGCCATTGCTGATCAGTATGATTCCAGTGGTGTTAAAGATCTTTCGGCCTAAGACATTGGGAGACAGATAAAGAAACTATAGGTGTCTGGGAGTGGTGGTGGTGGGGGGAGTGTAGGGTGCTAGCGAACGTACATGGGATCTCTTTCTAGAGTGATGAAAAGATGCTCAAATTGACTATAGCGATGATTGCATATATCTGTGAATTGCAGCATTCTAAAAACCATCGAATTGTTATTTTAAGCGGGTGAATTATGTGGTATGTGTACTCTAC